TAATCAATCGGTAGTTAAAGTAGAAATCAAGAAGATTCATATGATCGACGGAGATTGTACCTATTGAGATCTTCCTTATCGACGGTAACACGTTTTGTTGGAAGCGGTCGATTTGGAATCTAGATAAACGCAAAATCTTTTTATAGTATCAGATATTTGAATTGAAGGTTGAACAAACTCGAATATGCTATTAGAATTTACTTTTTATTTTTAAATGTTTAACCAGGTGCAAAATTTTTTGAATAATTCTTACAATTTATAATTTATTATTAGGTATATTTCTATAATTAGCAAATTAATGCGATCGTAAACGTTTCTTAAATGTTTACGCCATGATGAATCAAAAACCTGATTTATTAAAGCTACTTGGAACAGTTTGGAGAATTTTTCTTGCGTCGTTGACATTGCTTTCGAGCGCGGGAAACCTGAAATTCCGGCGCTGACCTAAATACGATGATCAAGGAGAGATCATTAATCAGATGTCTCTTTCGTTGCGGTTCGTTTAATTTATCTTTCGTAAATCAGGATTGTAATTTTACTTATAATTATTCATTATTACATAATACACGAAAATACACATCATTAATATCGATTAACAATAAGATTTCAATTTGATGATTAAGAGAAATAGGAAAATTTGGTACATATTCTCAAAATATTTGGAACATAATGCTATTACGAATTGTACGATTTTGCATCGTTGTTTTCTACGACGCAACGACTAGCTCGCTTTATTTAGATAAACGAAAATAGCGATCTAAGGAAAGGTGGAAAGAACAAGAATATTATACTCGATCATTCGTCACAAAATCGAGCAATGTAAATTACATATATAGAATGATCCAACTTTGTTTATTTACATGACGTAAAATTTAGAAAGATACATACAGTGAGTCATAGTAATTTAAGAGTAGATTTTTCTAGGGTCAAACGAAGTTCGAGTTCATCAAAGAAATGAATGTGATAAATAAAAAAACAGTATATTCAGGATTCAAGGAAAAAATTTTTTCTGTCGTAGTAGGAATAAAAAATATATTTTTCATACTTTTTTCTTTTTCTTTTTTTTTGTCCAAATCGAATATATTATTTGAACAAAAAAAAGAAGGTAAGAAAAGAATAAATTTTGAAAATTTTTTATATACTTTCTATAATTCATTAATTTTTCCCTTATATTTATTGAATAATTCAAAACGTTTTGCATAATTGAACGTAGTATAATTGAAGTATATAATTCAGAATTTGTGAAGGTGTCCAGATATTCTATGACTCATACTGTTTGATAAATAGTGACATATTCACAAATATATATCTACCACTCAAATAATTCAAAGCTTCGGTTTTGCGCCATACTCTTGGCATCATTCGAATCCCGCAGACTTTTCGTAAGAGATATTTGAGATTTCGAAATCCGAATAGGAAATATACGTTCGAGGAATGGTTTCCTTCGAAATGAAAATCTAAGCGAAAGCGTTAATTCGGTTGCAAGAGGTCGGTAATCTATTTTGACTTCGTGTCGAAGCTCCCACCACGATCTCGGCCTATCCAGAGCCTAACCCGTTCTCGTCTTTTATTAGAGCCAGTCATCGAAGGTGCACGATTCTCGTACAATCCTCTACAATAAACTAGACCGTTCTAACGAACTCTCTCTTTCTTTCTATTAACGATCGAATAAGTTGATTACATCGTGGAACGCGTTTCGTCGGGTAAACAAAAAAGATCCTCCTTGACAATTGAAAAAGTAACGAAGTATAAAAAACTTTTTTTTATCCCTTTGATATTTCTCAACGAAAAGATTTGAAGACGTATACATTTTGGTAAGTAATCGTGTAACTCGAAGACAATTTTCAAATACGATTGAAAATTTCTCTGTGAAAGCACGATAGATAGACCGTACAGCTCAGTCTCAACGATGTTCTGAGCTTTCGACCGAGGAAGAAGCCGCCTTTATACAAAAGCAAAGCGTACCAATGACGTAATTTACGCTTATAGTTTCCGCTTAAAATTCTAACGGGTAATCTATTTTCGATTCGCCGTTGTGCGAGAAGGAAACGACGCTACGTGAAATCTTGTCCTAAGCCTAAACGCAAAAAGATTGCAAATAAATAGAGAGGATTTTCCAATCTTAAGTTTTACGTAGAAGAGTATAGAGTATAATATCGAAGGATTAAAATTGATTTATAGTTCGTGCTACTTATTCGTTGCCAGTGATACATTACTGTAGACATTTGGATTTGACGTTTCATATACAACATGCCGAGTAATAAATTTGCGAACTTATTATCGTTCGCATGTTCTCTCGTCTCTCCTTTTAATGCAAGTTTAAATAAGCTCCGTGGGCAAGGAGAATACTATAAATCCAAAATCGTTCAGCGAGAGAAAACTTCTTTTCTTTTAAATAATTATATTATTTCGTTAGAGTAGATTGTCATTTACGATCACATAAGTGTAATTTAATCATTCGTTCGTTCGGACAGGAGAATAATTTCGGCACGAAGTTGAGCCGTTTTTCATGATCAAACGTGTTCAGTGTCAAATTTTGCAGGCTATATATGAATGAAGTAAATCTGGGTCGAAGCAAGTTTCGTCCTTGAATATAGTTTTTAAAATGAGGAATTACTTGTTCATCCAATAAAATGTATAAACTTAAAATGAAAAAGTTCAAAAAGATAAGAAAGATAGAAGAGAAAAGTTAGCAAATGTTTTTAGGATCGTATTATAGTGGAAACGTTTGGATGTATGAAATGGAAGAAGGTTGAATCAGGTGGAATTGGTTTGGAGCCCGGTAGAACCAGGTGGAGCTTGGTGGAACCAGGTTCGAAGTGTTCGTGTAAAGGAAGGTCGTCCTACGCGGTGGTAGCTGCCGCGGCTTCGCGGATCTAATTCGGTCAGCTGAAAAGGGGCTTTAAAGATTCGGTGGCACGCTTTTCTTCGACCGTGGCATGCTCACGTTCGATCATCGACGGAAATAGCGTTGGCATTGTTCCGTTTCCCTCCAGAAACGTCTTTCATGGCAAGGAGGTCGACTAATTTCTACCTTTCTTCAATGATACGCCGTTTAACCTCTTAAATCATCAGCTATGGGATTTTATTATTATTTTTCTTTTTTTCTTCTCTTTCTTTTTTTTTATCTTTTTTTTTTTTTACTATAAGGCCATCTTCCATAGAAATTATTATTGTTCGTGAAGTTTATATGAAAAAAGTAGAGGGGGAAAAACATTTTTTTCAGCCATAGTTGTTATATTCTTATAATCGTCGAAAATATAATAAAATTTTGAAGATTCGTAGATTCGTGTAGACGGACACCTGGCGCCCGTCTTAATTACTTGCGTTGTCCGAGCAAGCACGCGGAAAATCAGATAATTCGTGGAATCTCTTTGCGTGTAAAGCGAGTAGACGGACACGACGAAGCGCCGATTTATTTTCGCTCCTATTCCGATAGGCCGTTGAGGATGCGTTTATTTTTGGCGCCAGTCATGAAAGTACTCCAGAGCGGACGAGGATCTTGAGGCCACTCTTTCGTCTTGTCCCGTCGCGTCGTCTTTTCTTTCCTTTCTTTTTTTCCTTTTCTCTTCTCTCCTTTCTTATCCTCTCCTCTCTATTTCTTCCCTCATCTCATTACTAATTTCTCACGAGTAAGCAAAAAGTTGATTCTTCGAGGATTCCACAAAACTCGTTTCGTTTCGTTTCATTTCGTTTCGTCGAAGATTTCTCTTATTCAATGTTAATTGATTTTCTTTTTTCTTTCATTTTTGAAGGCTTCAAAGTATTTAATATTTATTTAAAAATTGCAAATAATATAATATGTGAAAAGGAGATACGACGATTTCTTCGAAGATTTCTTAAATCGCTTTACGTAATTTGATGATTATTTTTTTTTTTTTATTCAATGTTAAATAAAATATTTTTTAGAAGGCACAAAATGATATTAAAATTTAATATTAATTAAGAAAAAAAAAAAAGGGAAATTAAACGTATGATATAATGTAAAAGAAAGAAAATGTTTTTTTTACGATAATGCTAGGATAGAAAAATCTAAATTATTTCTCAATGGGATTCCGAATGGTCATAAATAATTACTTTTCTCCTAAATTCGATCGATCAAGAGGCATAAATATAGATCATCGAGAGTTCGATAAGCTCGTTCGTATTCGTTTCGATATCTTTTTGGATAGTAGCCAGAACAGTGTACCGCGCGCAAAGCGCGTGTCGAGGATCCTCCTGATGATGAAATCATAAGCCATGAGGTAATGGAAAGAAGATCTATTGTATGACGCAAAAGAAAGAGAAAAGGATGTTATTTAAAAAAAAAGAAAAAAAAAAAGAAAAAAAAAAAAAAAAAAGAAAAAACCCGACTTTAAATATTCGATTCGTCGAGATTTTGCAATCGCTTCAGGATCTTTTTAAAATGAAATTTAAAAAAAAAACTTACGGTGGAAATTAAAAGATCGATCGATCGATTCTTAATCATGTTCGCTACGAGTGATCGTATTAAAGACACCAATTTATTCGTCCAGGGTTATTCGTTCTAAGTATAGAATTTAGCCGCATATAGTGGATCCACGTCGTCGCGGAGTCGACGCGACGGCGGCGGCAAGGCAGAGAGGAGAAGCCGAGCGTTCTTTGCTTTCCGCTCGCGGAAATAAAACAGTTCTTCATCGGATACGCTCGCACGGATAAGCTGTCGATAATCTCGGGTTTGACAACCCCTATTCGGCTTAGCTCTCTCTCTTTCTCTCTCTCTTCCTTCCGATCTATCTCTTTCTTGTATCTTCCTTTCTCTTTCAGAGCAACGAAAACTATCCAGAGAAACTCGTGACACGATTGGCCACGTATATCTGTTTGAGTTGTTAAAAAAAGAGGAACGGAAAGAGGGGGAGGAAGAAAGAGAGAGACTGAGATAGATAGATAGATAGATAGATAGAGAGAGAAAGAGAGAGAGAGAGACAGACGGAGAAATAGAGAGAGAAAGAGAGAGAGAGAGAGAGAGAGAGAACGAGAGAACGAGAGGAGTATCACAAAACGTGGTCGGAGAGACGAATACGTGGTCCGTGTTACGTAGTGGACATAAACCAAGTCTAGCGTGGGTGTCTTCTGCTTCTCAAGGATTACGTAATCTCGTCTCTTTCTTTTGCTTACGTCAGCTATCTTGAAGATCGCGGACGACGAAGACGATGAACGAAAAGGATCTTCCGTTTCGTCTCTATCAGTCTTATCTTTGGATGATTTATCAAAGAAAAATCATCGAATTTACGATGCCATGTGATCGATCCGTTTTGAAAAATACATTGATACGTATTTTCAGAGTTATTATATTTTCCTGAAAAATCTAGATGATCTTTCTTGTGATCACGATTGGAACGGCTAAGATCGAGCAACGAAGGAACGAGTTCTTCCCTTCGATCGAAGACGATTTATCTGAAGCTGAATACTTCTTTAGCCAGAAATTAGTTGGAGAACGGGCATCGATGTTAAAAGGAACGAACGACCGTGTGCCAATAAAATGATACACGACTTGATCTTTCGCGGAGTGTTTAACCGATTTTAACCTCGTTGTGCAAGAACTACTCGTATATAAAGGATTTTATTGAGAAATCTCGCTTTTGCATTTGATCTTTATTGTAGTAAGAGATCGGTTAAAGAGTAAACGTTACGACGATCGAAGATATCGATATCTGAATGGCGAGGTACGTTCGAAACGATTAATTCAATCGAAGATCGAACAGAGAAAATTCGTCGGGAAAATGGGTTTGCTTTTGTCGGTGCTCGTTGGTTGCGTTGGAGTCCTTGAATTGTTAACGTGCCTTAATCGAGTATCCCATCGTTCGATCATTTGGATCGATCCACCGACAACATGTCTGTCTTATCACGATCGTCCTCAAGGTGGATTCACCATACATGATTCTTTATGTGGTATCGGTCATTCGAGAGATCTTGATTTATCCTCTGGCGCCAAGTACAAGTTGGAAAATCTTCATGAATATAGTTTGAGAATACGAAGCGAACTTCGATCCAAGGATCGAACTTTCGATGGCAATACTCTCTCCGATTGTAGCACTACGGATCTTTTGGCTAGATCGGAATCAAAAATTGATCCCGATTTCGAAAGTCTCTCGAGAGAGTTCGGTGAATCTACTGAGATTATTACATCTACGCTTGCAGAAAAATCAGAAGAATATTTTAGAGTACCGACGCCGATATCGATTATTGCTACTACTCGAAAATCGGAATCGGAATTGAGCAACGAATCCGACATATCCTTCGACGAGGATATTTTGGAAAAGCGTGTAAAAACGAAAACGTTCGATGTTTCGCCAGTTCGAGATACAACAAGGTATGAAGAATCTCCCTTATCTGGAAATGAATCCGATTATGAAGACACATCGATATTAAAAAAATTAATTCAAAGGTCAAAATCACCGGATGTTTCCAAAAAATTTGATAGCATAGAATCGTCAAAAATTGATACGGAAGTCGATAAAAATCGACAATTGTTAAAAAGATCTAAAATCAAGCCATCGACGACAATCGTTCGAAAAGCTACGAGATTGAAATCGAAGAACGCCGGGATTAGCAAATCCGCGGAAAATCTTAGTACAAAGAAATCTAAGAGACAACGCGAACCGGAGAGACGTAAATCAGATATATCTGTACAAACGTCACGTAATATTTTGAAAGACGAATGGACGAACACGTCTCCTCCGGGAAGTCCAAGTTTATCCAGATCTGAAAGTAGGGCTAGTGTTTCTGTTCAAGTACAAACGAGTTTTGAGGAGGGACCATTCGTTGAAAAACTCGAAACTGTGGAACTCCAAGTGGAGAATCCTGCGTTGGGTTTATCCGAAAGTAAACGAGACTTATATTCTCGTGAGAAACGTGCTAAAAGTTCTTTCAAACGTAGAAGATTTCGATCAGCTTCAACCGAGACTACAAGTACAGACGATTGTGCCGATCCTCATGTCATCGAATATGCCATTGCTTCCGTGGAGAGGTCATATAATCAGGATCATTCGAATTCCTTGAAAATATCCACTTTTGAGGAAGCTAGTAGAAACGATTATGGGAGGGTCAGGGACATCATTTTTGAGACAGAGTCGACAACCCGAAACGATGGAGGAAGGGAGAAGAAGGAACCAGTATTATTCTTCAAGTCGATGTCCTCTTTCGAGGACGACGAGGAATACGTCAGCGCGGAAGATGTGAGTTCCATCCACGGAAAAGGACACATTGAATACACCACACCTGACACCGATCGGAACAAAGCTTTCTGGGTAATCCGATGTATAGTAGTTAGCCTTCACGAGAAATACAGAGAAAGAGAAAGATAGATAAGTAGATACATAGATAGAGAATTGTTTGTTGTCGTCGACATCGAAAATGATACGTACGAGCTTCTTCCCCTCGAATTTCACGAGAACGATTTCTTTCTTACGCAAAATAAAGCATATCGGATTCTTGATACTCTGAAACATCGCGGTATTTGGAGATACAACTCCCACCTCTTTTTTCTCGGTCGCGTTCATGGTCGCCGCTGGTGGGCCAACTTACGCCTACTCTGTGTATTCATATTCGTCATATGATTTCGTCCTCGATCGAAATATTAATGTTTCATCTATACATTTAGGTCTTCTTAATTAGATTGTAATTAATTCCGATAACATTCATTCCAATGACGATGGACGATCGAAATTCAAATTGAACCTCGATTCGAATGTATCGATACGCACACTTGAAAGTTTCTTAAGGATAATAAGACAAAAGATGAAGGTATATTAACAGGAAAATAAAATAAAATAAAAAAAAATAAAAAAAGGAATAGAAAAAAGGTATTTAATATTTGCACGAAATGGTCGCGGTCTTTCTTGCGGCGTTTATTGGTGCCGTGTGCCTCGTGTAGGGTCTCCCAAAATATCAATCTCATACTCGTCTGCAAATAATATACGTATATATCGCGCATAGAGCTCGACATTTACAGGAGGAGACGAGGATACCGCCATTGCCGGCATCGTCGCCATCTCGCAGCGTCGTCTTGAGCGAAAATTTTCATCGACGAATCTCTTTTTGGGTCGAACAAAGTTTTTTTCTAAGATATATTTTTAATCGACCTACTCCTGTGCATCTCTCTCTCTCTCTCTCTGTCTCTCTCTCTCTCTCTCTCTCTCTCTCTCTCTCTCTTTCTCTATCTATCTATCTATCTATCTCTCTCTCTTTCTTTCTTTCTTTTCCTTTGGTCCAGATCGGATTAAATTACACATTCTCGTATCTTTCCCTCTCGTCGAAGTTAAGCGACTATATTACGTTATTACAACAACTTTTTTTCTCTCTCTCTCTCTCTCTCAGGAAACAATCATTCGAACTCGAAGTTTATTGCTCTTTCTCGTCGTAACAAGTTTTGTACGTTCCGATAAAATTCGATAAAGATAGAGAAAGATTCGAAGGAGTAATAGTGAACGAATCCGCGTGGGTGAACGAAGATATTGGTGATGTGTGAAACATTCCGACCCAATTACCGTATTTACTCCTTTTTCTATTTTTCAACGTGATTCTATTTTCCGCCCACCTCGCCCCCATCGAGTCGGGGAACCACCTGTTTGGCAAGTGATCAAAACGTCGCTGGGGTCGACGATGTTCTTCGAAACTTTCTTAACGAAAAAATCTCGACGAAATGATCGTTAAATTTAGATGTTATTCGTATCTCTTTCAATTCCGATTCTCTGATAAATTTGTTTTTTTCCACGGTAGAAATGAGCCATTGAGATCAAGGAAGAAGAAAAAGAAAAACAGAACGGACTAATTTAATATACACACATTCGTTTCTAAATGTCTAATGTCTACGTTGGTGAATGAAAATATTTCTTCTTTCTCTTATCTTTTTTTTAGTTTCAAAAAATTATAAATGAAACCGTCATATTATTTCGATAGGTATCGATCCTTGTAATTAATTATTACAGATGTAATTTCGAAATTAAAGAGAACAACTAAAGAAATCCATTCTCCCAAATAGACGATTACGATTTCGTATATTTTTCCATTGATACTTCTGTCGTGTAAACGCAAACCAGATGCGTACAAGCAGTTTATAGCAACGAAACGAATCTCCCGTTTCGAAGTTAAATCGACAGACACCATTAGTTCGCGAGATCTATTTAGAAAGTTTTCTCGATCGACGAGGATAAAAAATTTAAGAGTCAAAGTCAAAGACCTTAGAACGGATTGAAAAGTTTGGAATTGATTTTCCTGTGAAAGAGTAAAAGAAAGAAGGATTAAAAAAAAATCGTAAGGGATGATAAGAAAAAAGGGGTGGTCGTGTGTCTATAAAACAAACGGAAACAGAGTAAGGGATAGAAAGAGGTGGTGAGAGAAACGAATGGGGAGACGTCGTCAAGTTTTCAAGAGGAGAGAGAGAAAGAAAGAAAGAGAGAGAAAGAGAAAGAGAGAGAAAGAGAGAGAGAGAGAGAGAGAGAGAAAGAGAGAGAGAGAAAGAGAAAGAGAGAGAGAGAAAGAGAGAGAGAGAGAAACACACATCGTAGAAAAGTTGCACCCGGCACACTGCACCGAGGATTGGTAGGAGCGTCCGGCCAGTGAAGGAAGAGGAGGAAGAGGAAGAGGAAGAGGAGAAGGAGGGAAAGGTGTCCGAAAGAGAGGAGGGAAGAGCGCGGTGTTTCTGGAGTCGTCGGGACGCCGAAAATAGCGTCCCGATATGATGACGCCCGGAGCAGACCGATCCTAGATTTCAGTCAGTTCGCAAGCTCGAAAGCTGCTGGGCACAACGAGCGATCTCGCGACTCGCGACTTTCGATTTAAATTTTCGATCGATACGAAGAAAACAATTTTTCTTTTTCCTACTCTACGACGTTGTCTTCCCTCGTTTTCGAGACTTTCATCTCGCTCTCTATATCTATCTCTATATTTATCTTTATTTAATATCATATCTTTATAAAAACTCGTTCGCGTTCAATCTCGCACGAGTTTTTGTTGGGAAGTTTTTAAGGAAAGAATTAAAACACAGAGATAGAAAAAAAAGAGGAGAAGAAAAGACAATGGCGGACGTAGATAGTCTAGTGTACACGACCACCGAGCGCAAGGTTCGCAAAGTGAAGAAGACGACAAAACGTAGGGAGAGCCACGATCAGAACGCCGAGGTCACGATCACCGAGATCGACAGCACGCAGAACAATCATCATGCCATCGAAGAGTATGTGCTGGCTGATGATAACCTTCTTTCGTTCTTTCATCCCTTACGATCGATTCACTCGCGATTTATCCTTTGACCGATCGCATAATTTTCATTTAAATCACACAATTTCTTCAGCTTTAATCATGAATGATCAAAAAAAATTTTTATCTTCCTTAATCACATTTTCTTATCTTTTTTCGTATTTATTAAGAATTTTTAAATTCATTCTAATCGTTTTCGTGCAAATAGCCAAAATATTAACTTTACCTGTTTCACCGTCATTATCTCTTTCAATGACTTTTTCATCTTCCCTTCTGATTGACATTCTAGATTACATAATTATATTTTACATTTCTTTGATTTGTTTGCGAGTAACAAAGAACATTCAATTTGCCATTATACTTGATATTTAAATTTTGAAACAAAAATTGATAACTTAATAAATTTGCTTGAATACGTAACAAAATTTTTCAATAAAAATTCGTGTACAAACATACTCAGCCAGCACATACAAGGGCACTTATCCAAGGTACTTACATATATACATATATACGTATACCTGGTAGGGCAAGATTATACCGTTCTGGAATTTTTCGAACATTGTATATATTCACGACGATTGTAAACGTGCCTGTGACGACGAAAAATAATGTGCAAGACTCATTATTTTTTCTTTTTATGGAAAGTATACAACGAATAAGAGAGAGACGCGATAATCAAAATTGCGTCGTAGGATAAATTGACTCGCTTATCTTTGTAAACTCGACGCTATCGGTGGATATTGTCGAGAACGTCGATTAGGACTCTCTCGTTTAACAATGTTTAGCAATGGATTTTTTAAAGATGCTAAACGCCACAAGTTAGGAACGGATTCATAGAAAATTTCGGGAAAAAAAATATTTACAATTTACATATAAGAAACATTCATAATTAATGTCACAGACATAATTCGAAGAAACTGACATATATACACAGATATTATTTTAACATTATTTTAATGTCACAGATAAAATTTCCAAGACCAAAAGATTCACAACAGAATTTTTTTTGGGGGGATGGGTGTGGGAATTATGAAAAAGAAGAGGAGATTATGAAAAAATAAATGTAATCGATTAATAACTCGTTAATTTTGTTCGTTGCAGTTGATTTTCAGTGGCGAGTACACGAAGGCGATGAACAAGGACTGGCACAGTGGACATTTTTGTTGCTGGCAGTGCGACGAATCCTTGACAGGACAACGTTACGTTCTCAGGGACGAGCATCCTTACTGCATCAAGTGTTATGAGAGCGTTTTCGCTAATGGCTGCGAGGAGTGTAACAAAATCATTGGTATCGACTCGAAGGTGAGAGAGAAAGAGAGAGCTTACATATTACCTCGGTTCTTTTACTTCTTGTCTTCTTACGTCGCAGTCGTGCGCAAAGGACAAGGACGACGAGAGAGAAAGAGAGAGTGAGTGAGTGAGCGAGAAAGATAACAACTGTTAATGAGAATGATTCAACCGTCGATGACGTCACAAATGTCGTCTCTCTTCTTTTTTCTTTGTTTTTTTTGTTTTTTTTTTCTTTTTTCTTTTTTTTTCTTTTTTTTTCTTTTTTTTTTTTTTTTTTTTTTAAGAGAAAGGAAGAGAAATAGCTTATAAATTATTAAATAATATAACACGGAAAATGCGTGACAGAAAATAATAATCTTTATCCGATCAGTAATAAAGCGAGAAAAAAAGTCACGATTAACAAGATTGAGAAATAATCTCTCTGTGTGAGTCGAGAAGTTTAACGTTTAAATAAACGTAGGCGTTAATTCGTTCATTCCTCGAAATAGAAACAACTTCGTGTTTGCTGCGCGTCATCTTTTATTTCTTCTTTTTCTTTTTCCTTTTCGATAATACCTACATACATACATATATGCCATCTGAAAATAATTGTAAAAAATTGTCTGATCCTTTTCGTAGGATTTGTCTTACAAGGACAAGCACTGGCACGAGGCTTGCTTCCTTTGCAACAGGTGCAGAGTATCCTTGGTGGACAAACAATTTGGAAGCAAGGTGGATAAAATTTACTGTGGCAACTGTTACGACGCTCAGTTTGCTAGCCGTTGCGATGGATGCGGTGAAATCTTTCGTGCTGGTACGTTATTTTAAATACTTCGATAAAAAAAGATATATATATATATAATAGAATTGAAATCTTGATAAATGGTAAGAGAATGGGCAAAAAAGTCCTAATTCGCACGTGCGCCTGATCAATCGATCGATCGATCGTATATGACCTTAAGACCACACAACGATTTGCGACATTGGATACGATCGAAGGATAGAAAGAGAGAGGCGATACGTATCCCATATCCTGTAAGGTAAATCTTATTAAGGTAACCAAGTCAAGGTCTTAAGCACAGACACGAATCGTGATAATAATCGTGCATCGTCGAGAGTATGAGAGAGAAAGAGAGAGAGGAGGGAGAGGGAAGAGGACTTTACTCCTACGCTTGTATACTAACTTATTGGTATGCGTGTAGTATATGCACACGCGTAAGTCCATATACAGAGAAAATTTGGATAAAACTTTGTCAAAATTATTTCGCATATGATCTATTTATTAAATATTTCATTGATAGAACGAAATTGAAATAATCGATAGGGATCGATAGAAATTAGGAAATTGTGAATAGTTAGTGAGGAGAGTTGTCTAAATCATATATTTTTTATTTGATACAAATCTTTACACTTTAGTAAATTACAATTTGTATAGATCTATTTAGACAGATCTATGCAACCTCGTATGCCATTTTATTTTACATTTGAAAAAACATCAAATAAAGTCGTATTAATTTATACTATATTTTTATAAAATTAAAATTTTTTGTCTATACATTTTGTTATTATTATTTTTATTTTATTATTATCGTCATAGATTTGTTATCGATATTAAACGTCATTTAAATTCGGCCAAACGATAAGATAAGTATTGATAAAATTTTTGTAAACGTAACACGTTAGACAATTTTTTCCTAGTAAATATAGGTAAAAAAAAACTCTCCGATTTATACGATTTAAGGGGGAAGAGAAGGAAGAGAAAGGGGAGGATAGGATTCCCTTCGTCGTCAAGTTATCACCGCAAAGCATAAAGAGTATAACGCACGTTGCGCCTGCTCGCAAGTCGCGACGGTGACTCCAAGAACCGACGACGAGTGGTCTGCCCTCTCAGTGGCTCGCAAGCCTTCGGGCTAATCGCACGGCTCGATTCCGCTACCGATACAATCCGCAGTTATCCACGAGTGCTTCTTATACTTATCTCGTTCCTCCTCTCACAAACGAACCGGTTTCGTTCTCCTCATAGTATAAATATACAGTCTTATTTCAATCTAATATTCATGTTCGTTTTACCGCGTTGATAACTCCCTCTAACGAAAAGTTATCATCTAAAGAAAGAAGAAAAATAAAAAAAGAAAAGAAGAAAGAAAAGAAAAAAAATTAAAAAAAAAAAAAAAAAAAAAAATAGTTCGATCTGCATGAAAAAGTCTTACGAAAAATTGGGAAAGATTCGATGCCAAACAGAAACATCTCGTTTGGCTGTGAAAAAGCGCGAAATTTGATGTAAAGATTAGCCGCACCTTATCCGCACGATTACCGTCTTCGGTGCATATCGATTCAGGTCCGATCGATAAAAGGAAAATGGCTACCGACGCGTTAAGCGAAAGACTGTCGAGCAAACTTCACTTGCAAACGAAAACCGTAGGTGAGGAAAGAATTCGAAGGGCTAAAGAAAATGATGAGGATGTTGCCATACTCAGCATGTTTCCTATGGAAGGTGATACCAAATTTAGGTGTTATCTTGGAAAGGATTGTCTTCTTGGAGATCAAAAATTAGCTAAACCAGGTGATTGCTATCGAAAAATGTTATTTTATATTTTATTTTGTATAGTTGATATCGCGATTATAGAAAGAGAAAGGACGATGATCGTGGGTAGAAAAGATATTCTTTACTTGTAATAAACGTGTATACACACACACACACAGATATGTAATAGGATACATAGTAGGATACGCATGTAGATAGACATGGGGACGATTTCGAGTCACGATGGCGACA